TGAGAAGAAATATAAATAATGTTTTTTTTTAAATTTATAATCGTTATTATGGACAACCTAATACGGCTATGAGTAAGGCTATTTGTAGAAAACACTAAAAACAAGATCAGCTTTTGAAAAATGATAAGATATTTACAGGAAACGTTGATTATATCGATCTGTAATGTACATCTTGAGTAAATCCATAATCTTTGAGTCAAATCTTTTAAAGTCTTCAGAAATTATGACTGATATTTGTTTTTAAATAACGCCTTTAATACCTAGCAATTCCTCGAATTCGAGCAACAGGTATGCTAGTTAATACATATTATTCGTCTGTTAAATAGAGAAAACATTTTCTTAATAATAAATACATTGGGAATTTGATGGCCTGTGGGGCAAAGTCCGAGAACTTTTATTACAGGAATTGGTGAAAGGGGGCGTCTACACAAAAAATACTTAATTTTGATACATCGTTTGTAAAAATCTGTCCATTATTAACGGAGGGGTAGTTTTTCGTAGAAATCGCCTTCACGTATTATATAGACGGATACACATAAATACAAATTTGAACGAATGGTGTTTTTGGCCTCTAAACTGAAAAATGAAAAAGTAAATCGGTCCCGGGCCTAGGTCTTCCCGTGCCACCTACGGTAATAGCTACTTTCCTATAGGGAAATTCGCTAAAAAAACCAAGTGTTGCACGTGGTAGGGACTTAAACGTGAAATCTGTCCATAAAGCACATTTGTCTGATATAAGGTTTTTGCGTAAAAATTAAGCTCTTAATTAGGACATTGAACTATAATAATTAGTATAATTCATTTTTATTTTAACAATATCTATCCACCACCGTCAATGCGTCGATGATATTATTTAGCTACAACTGCAGCGACCCTTGTCGCGGCTGTAGCTACCTGCCGCCGAGAGAAAGCTCGCACCACAACACAACGGTCTTTGTTTGGGTTTCAAGGAACTCAAACTCTTTGTTCTCTTGCTCCGTTAAAGTAATTTTTGCAATACTGGACCCTCTGGTCATCGAACCGCCGCGCCGCTTCTGCGGTGTTAGCAGCTCTCACGAGGCTTTGCAACCCCTGTGGCCACCCCGTGTTTTGTAGTAGGTGTTTGGTGTTTGAGGGCATTTGTCTCTCAACAGTTATTCTCGATTAATGGAGATGGTACTCAAGTATGAGTACCGATAACGTGCCCGGCATATCATTCCATTGTGGGCCAAATAATTAGGGGTTGTTATTTAAATTAAATGAATTGTTGTTTTTACATATTTTATTTTACCCAATCTGGCTGCTTACATAATTTATGTTATTTCAATTATACATACACTCACTCACATTCACGTACGGAAAACACTTTATTCTGTCATATTATTCGTTATTATAATATGTCGTATTATTATTATTGTAAGAATCTACACGCTGAAGAAACACTCTTTTCCATTTTGAAACTCATAATCTCATATGTAATAATTTTTTTATCTTAGGAAGGTGGCTAAGGGATGAATGCGTCATAAAAATAGCCTACTATTATGGAGGGCCCACCACGAAAAGCAGTTTTCTTTTCATTAAAAAAGTTTGCTTATTGACACTGGGGACATTGGGTCACTTATTCTTGCCCCATTATGAAGCCAATGGGTCCCATTTTTAGGCCAATCTTCTTCTAATTAAATAACAAATACTTATCATTCTATCATCATCACTCACAATTTAATGATTCTTTATAGGTGTATATGATCTTTTAGCCGTGATTGAAGGAGCATACTGTAAGACATATTAAGTGGGCCTACATCGTATGAAATCACTTTATAATGCAAAGTAATCATTTTAAATAATGCCAGAGAAGAGATAGGATGATAAAAAACTAGCTGAAGCCGGCAGACGTTGTCTTGCCTTTGGCTATTTACATAATTTAAGTTGAGTAATAAAAACCCAAACTAATTCCAGGAATATTACAAACATGTGTACGTCATTTTAAAATAAAACTATTTATTCCCGAAACATACCATTAATTTACCTAGCATGTTTTAAATTATACTTCATCCATATATTTTGTTAGAAAAACAAATCTATTTAAAATTCTTTCAAAATCCCTGAAAGAAGGGCTGCACCCTGTTGGTAAACCTTTTAACTTTTTAATGCTATATTTAACATCATGGAATCGTATTGTTTAGTTGAAACAGCTATTAAGATTCTTTACCTAACCCACCATGTCAAAATTCCCTATGCCAAGCATGACGTAAACAACTTCTTTACTTCACTCGGTGAAGTAATGTAACTCAATCTAGTAACATTGAGTGATCCACTTTTTAAAATATACCTCTATGGAGCCACGAACTTGGTAGCGTTCTATGACTTTCCTAGTTTACATGTTAACAAATTGGTTGTTTCAATGATTGCTTAGGAAATACAGTACTACTATTTGTCCATTCATTTTTCTTATTTGGTGAAATATATCAAATTTTCAAGGTTTTTTTACATTGTAATATGTACGCAAACCCAAATTCAAATAGTTAAATGTTTAATTTCAACAAAATCAGTAAATTTGTACATGCGTTACCTTAGATTGAAAACTGCTGTTTTCAAGTTTCTATCTGTAGCCAGCATTTGGCTGCCTTTATTAAGTACTAGCTGGCCCGACAGACGTATTGTGGTTTTATGTCACATGCTCGTTCATTTTCAAGATGAGCTCGTTCGCATGGCTCAATCACGTCCTGGTTGAAGTTCGTTCGCTACGCTCACTCACCTTTAGGTTGAAGCTCGTTCGCTGCGCTCACTTGCCTTCAGGTTAGCTCGTTCGCTACGCTAACTCGCCTCCAGGTTGAAGTTCGTTCGCTACGCTCACTCACCTTTTGGTTGCAAATTAACTGTTCTCATAAATTAAAAATAAATATAGTGCTGCACCCTGTTGGTAAACCTATTAACTTCTAATGCTATTGAACATCACAGAATCAAATTGTTTAGTTGCACCAGCTGTTAAGATTCATTAATTCCATTTAAATATGAGTACTCATAAGGTTAACATGGGAAACTCCAGAGCCACTGGGATCGGAGCCCTATAGGCGGATCTGCACCAATCTTCACACAAACCATCCTTGAATAATGCTTAGTAATGCCTGAAAGTTTCATTACAATCTGTCGAGCGGTTTTGGAGTCCATAAAGGACAAACATATATTGGATTTTATATATATAGATTTTCAAGAAATGCATATTAGCAAAGATTTTTGCGTTAGCATATGTAATCTTTGATATTAGTTATTTGTAGTAAATTTTATTCTCTTTCAGAATAGGTATCACCGTCCACTTTGGTCGATTTCCTCACCATTTAAAAGTTACTGTATTTGCGAAAACGTTAAGCAACCTCCCAATTTATAGTGGTGAGAAAATACTAATGAAAGATGTTGTTGTTAAACTTTGTACAATTAAATCTACAGTTCTACTGAACCGAGTTTTTTTAATTAATAGGTCATTGGTAAGCCTAATTTGTGTAGATTTGCAAATAATTAGGAAAGTTTGATTTTTTTAAGATTGACTAGGTGAAACCCGTCAAAGTCGACAGTTACTGTTGAGGTTGCAAGCAAGATCGTTTGACTATAAATCGATGATAAATAACTCAGTTTTTTTACAATTTGTGTTGTTCGTGATTTGGCTGTGTGCTTAAGGTACGTCCGATCTTAATAATAAATAAATCAAATGGAAACTGGTATTTCACTGAAGGTTCTTAGGTCAAAACAAATAGAGTAACGTAATTTGAATTGAGTAAAAATATCAGAAACTTAATTCCGTGGTTTATCAGTATGCATAACCTAATCATACGAAACCTTTTGTGTTAATAATTAAACGGCTTATTGTCATATTGTTATTTAATTGATTTTTCTTTAAATGGTGTCGTTAACAATTTGCATTTGTGTTTAAAGTGAGTTCTTATTCTAATGCTATGTGCTTAATCTGTACCTGTATTAGTGAGTAAAGTGGTGCATGGATTTCAAAGCCATTATTTTACTAGAGACCGTTGTATTTAATCACAACGGCCTCTTGCTAGTATAGATATAGATATAAGAAGATAAACATACCATTTACTAACAATAAATAATCGTGGAATAGATATGAAAATTTATTAATTATTTTTCGTAGCCTAGCAAGTGTACGGTAATTTGTACAATTACTACTTTACAGAAAACTGTCTCATTAGTCAGCCCGCAATACAGCAGTGCTTTGGTAAAGCATCCCACATTTTGCAGGCGTAGTTACGAGTGAAGTAGTCTCCAGTTGTCCGCCGCACCGTTTGGTTAGATCGGCCAAACCAAACTGTGCGACTCAGAGGCAAGTGGGAGGGATTGTTGGTCTCATGCTCCGCCGGCCGCAGACCTTGCGGAAACTAGCGCGGGGGAGATTGACCGCGGTGGACCTAGGTATGACTCCCTTCGTGATCGTGGTTTCGTGTTGTGTTCGTTCGCGTTGTGTTTTGTCTTTTGTTGTGCTGCTTTGCTGTGCCAAAGGCTAAAGAGAAGTAGAAGAAAAGTGCTTGACTTTGTGAAATGTGAAAAAACAACGATAAAAACGAAACTTGGAAATTTCTTACTAATCTAAATCTTACTTCTTCTAATTCTTTCAAGGTTTCAAGAACTGTTCGTGTTCGTTTCGTGCACTGAGCTATAATTCTAACTGGAGGTAGCACTGAATGTCAAAGATGCGTGTCGCCAGCCGCCATGTTTGCGTGAGTCTGGTGTCATAAGAAGCCATATTATTGCTATAACTATTATTATACTTGGCTTAAAATACCTACTTTGTATGGTCGCCATTTCAAAGAAAATTATTAAAGTATTAAAAGTATTCAAGTATGACAAAAATACTCACTGCTATACCAACCTAGTTATAAGAAGCCATGTCATTGCTATGATAAGAAAACTTACTGCTATACCAACCTAACAAAATCAGCGACACGCTTTTGACAGACTTCTGCCATGGCAGTGCTACCTCCAGTTATAATTTTAGCTCAGTGGTTTCGTGATTTGTGAGTGTTTCTGTTTCTTTGGTTTGTGCGCGTTGTGATTGTTGGCCTATTGTCATCCAAGTGTGAGTCTGTTGCACATAGGGACCTTAGTCAACAAAAATAACATAACATGTCATCATGAATGTGAAGTGAATTACTGTATTGAATTTGATTATAACTGTCATAACCTAAAAGTTATAACATAAGTAAATTAAAGTTCTGTTCTATTTTAAAAGCTCAAAGCCTATGACAGTTCATATTGTATATTGCACTCTTATCAAATTAGTTGTGAAACTAAAGGCTTATGAAACTTAAACCTAAGTCTAATTAGGCTTTAACATTACAACTCAATTAAATAATTATCATATATACTAATTAGGCCTAATAATTGTAGACCTAGGCTGCACTTTACTTTAGGTCCTACACTCATTCGAATGAAAATATCGATTGATATATCGAATGCAACAATAGAATAATCGATATTTTCATTCGGTTGTTTATGTAGGACCTAAAGTAAAGTGCAGCCTAGACCTATGTCACAGAAAACCTACTAACTTACTAAGCTTAAGTTATAACCCAGAATGCTAGCCGCATGGTAAAAAGCGTTACGGTAACCCTAGATACTGTTAAATACTGTTCAATGAAATGGCAACCATACATAGTAAGTTACGTATTTTAAGCCAATGAAGATGAGTGTAGGATGAGTGGCGCGATCTTGTAGTCTTGTTAGTGACTAAGGCCGACATTCCTTAGACACAGCTGTTAATTAATAGCCCATAGGCCTACAGCTAATGGCAACTAAGGGACCTACAGTTTATAGTGGAATCCGACCACATTTTTCCTTGGTATATACGAATTGGTCTTAGGCTATATCAGGATAGTACTGCGGATAGTCGTAGTAAGTACTCACTCGTGCGGACGTTAATCCACACCAGGGAGTATCGCATCCACAGTGCATGCCTATAAATATCCACAATGCCTATTTATCCACATTCAATCGTATATCCACAGGGCCACCAGCATAGCAACGCTGGTGGTGCTGCCTACGAATTGACAGGCAAAGCTCTCTCCGAGTACTTAACGCTGTTTACCATGCTGATAGCATTCTGGGTTTCTTAGTATGTTTTCTGTGCCTATGTTAGCTTAGACCCTAAACTTAGTCTACCAATAAAAACTAGCTTAGGCCTATCCTTCCCCAGCTACACTAACTTAGTACCATGCCTAACTTATTGGTTAATTTATACATTGGTATTTACTTAATCTGACTATTGGGACCCTTGTTTTTATGGCCTTAGGCAACCTACTGGTGGCTACCAAGAAGGTTATTAGGGCCTAATTGAGTTCAATAGAACTGAACTTAACCATAAGCTATGCTATCAAGGCCTATGTTATTTTGGATTAAGTTATTTGGATTTATTTTTGATTCAACGTGGAAAAAAACTGTAAGTAAGTTAGGTAGGTAACCTAACTTAGACAAATTACATCATATCTCAGTGCAGACATATTAAATAATTGCCGTTATTTTTTCATGGTCCCTAATTTTTAGGCATGTCTAAGTAGGAAGTTTAAAAGTTACTCTGTTGGAGGGAACATTTAGCCCCAGGCTGTAAATTCAAATAAGTTACAACAAGCTATAGCTAGGTACTCGTTCGTCAACCTTCCGTCAATGACGTCACCTGATGAATGTCATCACAGATGCCTGTTGACGCACCATTACCGCAACGATGCGAAGAGCAGCCATCGGTGTTCGTGGTGTAGTGGATAGAGGAGTACTTGGCTGATGATCGAATCCCATTGGTGAAATTAACTTTTTTCATAGATTTTGCTTAGAATTTGATTACTTATTAACTGTAGGCCTACATATTTTGTTAGAATTCAGGGCATTTATAATTTCATTTTATGAACAGAACTATTCTTTTGATTAGTAAACCTTAATTTGATTTTTTCATTATCAGCAAGTTTGTTTATTTTGGTTAATTAATGACAGTTTAATTTTATAATAGAATGCTCTCCTATTTTTTTTATTAGTAAATATTCTTTAGAATTTGCCACTATCAGCAAGTTTGGTTTGTTAGGTTCTAAGGTTTTAACAGTTTCATTTTATAATTTATACAGGGTGGCTGAAAAGTAACTTGCATCCCCACTAGGGTTCCCAGGGACCCACCATCAAAAAAGAGGACAAAACTACTCACCAAGGGCGGTCCTAGACATATATTTGGGGTGGGGGTCACCGGGGGCCTGGGGGGTATGGAATACCCCCCCCAGCAAAGAAGGGGGGTCCCCCCCGGGAAAATTTTGGAAATAACGTGCTAAAATTAGTACTTTTCAAGCTATTTTGAGGACCTAGTTTAATGTGTTCAAGCTTCCCAGATTATTTTTTAAAGGTAAAGAAATGTTAAAAAATAAACTTGTACTCGTATAATGTCATGTTTTTTTATTATTATTGAGACTTGTGGTTTTAATATCAAAGGAATACCGCAACATTACAACACATTCAAGCATGCTTGATTTACAAAAACACCCTGGTGCCAATGTGCATGCTAAACAGAAATTGTCCTAAATCAGACCATGATTTTGAACCAGAGAACTTATTTTATCGGAAGTGTTTAAGAACTAGCACCCAACACGACTGCATTATACCTGCCCAGCAAGCAACAGTTAACCTACACAAAGTACACTACCAAACTATAATGCCGTCAGCGTCCCGTCACTGCTACCAACCGCCTGAAGAGTTGGTTCTCAGTGTTCTACTTTTTTTCTACGCCAGTGGCATTTTACAAGGGGTCAATGTGAGAATAAAGTTTTTGTGCAACTTTTTTGTGGATGTGAGTGGTTGTGCCGGGAATTAAATCCGTCCCTTCCGCATCTTAAGTCTGAGACACTACCATTTTGTTGTTGTTTTTTGGCTAGCAACATACCAATTGGGTAGTGTTATTCTTAAATATGATATCAGGTGCTCTAAATATGAATGATTTAATATTGAAATTTTAAAAATTTTCTATGGTAATCATTGAGTTACATTACTGTACCTAATAACAAATTCCTATCGCTGAACTCAGATAAATTAATATTCAACTACCCTTCAAGCTTGGACTTTGATACAACTTCTTTTCTTTATCCAATACCCAATTAAAGTTTTCAACCATCTAGGTTAAAATTAATGGTAACATTAAATGCCGAAAAATTAAATAAGAAGAATGCGGCCGAACGTCGAACGTCAGCATCGGACACTGCCGTTGCCGTATATGGCTGAAAGCGTCCGTCGTCTGCCGATCTTCCCTACTTTTCATAACGTACAAAAAATAGTCAGACTCGAACGATCCCGAGGTTTGGGTTAGAGTTTGTAATTAGTCCATTCGTTCGCCACAAGTGTAAAGACTACAATGAATTCAATTTGGTAGAATGATTTGCAATAAAAACTATTAAAGTTCCCCTGGTATAATAGTTTAGTAAGATATTTTAAAGTGTAGTATTTCAACTTAGTTTAATGATATGATGACGATTAATTATAAAAGCTGATTGCTAATATTAATACTTGCAGAAATATGTTTTTATTCTCTCACAAAGTCAAAATCCCGGACATTTGAAAGTATTGCCAAAAATCCCCCCGGACGTTTTTATTGTACCCAAAAAGAGGACGTGTCCGGGAAAAAGAGGACGTCTGGGATCCCTACAACTATTCAGGCGGTAGCTGTGACGACGCCGTCGACATCGTTAGTTGGGTAGTGTACTTTGTGTAGGTTAACTGTTGCTTGCTATGCAGGTATAATTCAGTCGTGTTGGGTGCTAGTTCATAAACACTTCTTAGATAAAATAAGTTCTCTGGTTCAAAATCATGGTCTGATTTAGGACAATTTCTGTTTAGCATGCACATTGGCACCAGGGTGTTTTTGTAAATCAAGCATGCTTGAATGTGTTGTAATGTTGCGGTATTCCTTTGATATTAAAACCACAAGTCTCAATAATAAAAAAAAAACATGACATTATACGAGTACAAGTTTATTTTTTAACATTTCTTGACCTTTAAAAAATAATCTGGGAAGCTTGAACACATTAACACGTTCGCTACTGAGCGTCGCATATATGCGACGCCGCGGTCATTGCCACAGACCGAGGTATACATTTGAATCTTACACATAGACCAACTGTCACTTGGATAACAGAACACACAGACCACGGGCGAAAACCTGTAAAACAACGATCATTTACATTTTAATTCGCTACAATGGTGTTTGTAAATAAATTATTCTTGTTTATTTGTATTTTTTATAACCTTTTGTAATGTCGCATATTTGCGACGCCCGGTCTACAGCGAAGTCAATAATGAAAATCATCATAGTTTTCTTGAAATAGACTAAACGTCGCATATATGCGACAGTTCATTTTTTTGTGTTTTAAGGTGAAAGTAAGTAAAGAAATAAACAGATTATTCAAGAACAGCTTATAACTGAACAAATATAAAAGCTACATAGGATAATGCAGCATACATACTGCATACATACATACAGTGATGCAGAAAAGTAAAGACCAGTTTTTCCAACTATTATATGACGTCACCAACCATCATATCCACAGACCAAGCGACGCAGTTGTGCGTCAGACATCTCTGTAGACCACTGCAGGGAATTCAGTGCCTTCAAATAGACCACTACAAAGATATAAGCATTTTAATAACATTAGAACCCCGACGCAAATATGCGTCGGCAGTCTATTTTAATGTGACTAGCCGTCGCATATATGCGACGGCAGTCCATGGGTGAAAACCGGCCGTCGCATATGTGCGTCGCTGGTCCATGTGAATGGAAAATTTCGTACTATTGCAGTAGCGAACGTGTTAAACTAGGTCCTCAAAATAGCTTGAAAAGTACTAATTTTAGCACGTTATTTCCAAAATTTTCCCGGGGGGGACCCCCCTTCTTTGCTGGGGGGTATTCCATACCCCCCAGGCCCCCGGTGACCCCCACCCCAAATATATGTCTAGGACCACACTTGGTGAGTGATTTTGTCCTCTTTTTTGATGGAGGGTCCCTGGGAACCCTAGAATAGTTGGTACTCAGTGTTTTATTTTTTTTACCACGCCAGTGGCAATTTACAAGGGGTCAATGTGAGAATAAAGTTTTTGTGTAACTTTTTTGTGGTTGTGC